GCACGCTCGTTCACAATCTCGACACGCACAATCTCCCCCATGCAGTCTACACGCAAGCACGCTCGTTCACAATCTCCACACGCACAATCTCCCCACATGCAGTCTATACGCATGCACGCACGTTCACAATCTCCACACGCACAATCTCCCCCCATGCAGTCTACATGCGTGCATGCACACACGCGCATAATTTCCACACACACAATCTCCTCACACATGCACAAGCTCCACACACACAATCTCTACGGACGCATGCACAATTTCCTTACACACACGCACAATCTACTGTGGTTGTTTCCATAACACTTGCTGGTGTCTTGTCAGAAATCAGCAGGGTGGCTTGCGAGGTTTCCCAAACTCAGGGGCGGGAGCGCCGTGGAGGGGTCCTCCCCGACCCGAGTCTGCAGAAGGTCGCAGCGGCCCCTGAGCGCGTGGCAGCGCGGGCTTGGACACTAGGGGCCCTTCGCCGCCCTCGGGGACGCCGCGCTCGCCCCTATGCCCAGTGCTGCAGAGCCACAACCTGCAGTCTCGGTTTGGGGCTGACTCCGGGTACCCGCGAGAACGAAGCTGCGCGACACGCCCCGCGCGGCCTCCTCCCAGTCTCCGCAGGCCCGGCGCACTCAATCTACAGGGGTAAAGCCGGGTTCCTGTGGCATCGGACTCCTGGACGCCCCTCCACTCGCGGGGCCGGAGCGTGGTCCTCTGGCTCGGGGCCGAGGGAGGAGAGGGGCGTCCAGGCCGAGCCCCGCCCCTCGCTCCGTCCCGCCCCTCGTGCCCTCCAGCCTGCCGAGAGCCAGTCCCCGGCCCTAGCCCCGCCCTCAATCCCGCCTTCTGCTCCCCGTCCAGTTCCTCGCAGCCTTCGCCCCGCCCCTAGCCCCTCCCCCACAGCGTCCTCTCGCTCACCTTGCCCCGCCCCCAAGGCTGGTGCTCCAGTACGTGACTGGGATCCTCCCTCTTCCGCCCCGTGCCCCGCCCACTTAGCATTAACCTCGCCCCTTCCGCCCCATCCCCCGCCCCATGATTTTGGCTCCGCCCCTTCCGCCCTCCCGCTCGAGCCCCTCCCCTCCTAATCTGCGCCTTCGCAGTCGCGCCCCGCCCATACCCCGCCCCTCGCCCCACCCCCACGGCCGAGCCCGGGCGGGGCTTCGCAGGCGAGCGCCGCCCGCAGGAGCCGAGAATCCCGGTCCGCCCGCGGTCTCGGAGTCGAGGTCTCTGCGCACAAGGTGGGGAGCGCGCACGCGAGGGGGCGCGAGGCGCCTTGTGGGGCTCGGCCTGCGCCCGAGATACCGAGGGCTTCGGCGCCGCCCCGCCTGGGGCTCGGCCAGATCTCCGGATCTCCGGCCTGGACTGCCCTCCCCGCGCCCCTCGGGTCCTGGGGGGCGGTGTCCCTCGAGCTGGGGAGGGGCACGGGGCCGCGGCTCAGGTGCGGGGGATTGGGCGTGGGCGGGCCTGCGTGGGGCGACCATCCTCAGCCCGGCTGTCGGTACCATGCGTGGAGAAGAACGAGGCACGACTCCTTGTCTTCCCAGCCAGGTTTCCAGAGTCTATGCGCTGCGCGCCGGAGGCGCCGGATGGTCCCTGCGTCACCCCTTTACGTCCCGCCCCCAGGCTGGGGCTCGCGTGTGGATAGCGGGGGCTGAGGCCCAGCAGGGGTGGTTCAGGGGTGTCGTGGGCCAGAGAGGGTGGCAGTGACTGGGCACAAGTCTTGGCCAGGGCGAAGCGATCTGGGCACGGACAGTGACCCTCAAGTCACACCTGCACCCGCCAGCCTCTCTTCATTGGACAAGTGGGGTCCTTCCTGGGGTTTGTGTAGTGGGGAGAAGTCTGAGTGTCCTGGTGGAAGGCTTGGTGTGCAGAGGACGCTCTGTGAGTCTGTTTTCTTTCCTTTGTGAAAGGAGTGAGCAGTTTCTGTTCCTGGATCTGCTGGACAGCCTGGGATGCTGCTGTCCCGTGAGTAAGTGAAGTCGCCACTGCCACTTCCCAGGTGGGGGCACTCGGGACCAGGCATGCCCGTGCTGTCGGAGGACTCGGGTGAGTGTGTGCCCAACTCATGCCCTACCCAGCTCTTGTACTGCCCGTGTGGCCTCTGGAGATGGCCTCGCCTCCACACGCTGGAGACGAGGATGGCTTAGGGTCCCCAGGGGCAGGAGCCCCTTCCTGTGCCCCCTGCCCCTTGATTGCCTGTGCCCGCCTCAGGCCTGCATGAGACCCTGGCGCTGCTCACCTCCCAGCTGAGACCTGACTCGAGTCACAGGGAGGAGATGGGCTTCCTGCGAGACGTGTTCAGTGAGCGGAGCCTCAGCTCCCTGATGAAGGTGCCTCGGGAGGGTCCCCCGCCATCTCATCCCTCGGGGCATCTGAGCTATTCCCCTTGGGGTTTCTGTGGCCTTGGGCATTATGGGATGCAGAGTCAGTGGAACCCTGTGTCTGCAGATCCATGAGAAGCTGCGTTGTTACGAGCGGCAGAGCCCGACCCCTGTCCTGCACAGCGCTGTGGCTCTGGCTGAAGATGTGAGTCCCTGGGGCTCCCTGGGTGTGGCACCTGGCTGCCTCTTCTAGTCCATTGGCCCATTAGCTGGGGGCATCTTTGCGGGGGCAAAGTTAAGGGCCCTTCTCTTTCTCCCGCTTATCAGGGGAGACCCCACAAGGCCTGATGGGCTGGGGGCCTTGGGGACATGGTGACACCCACTCTCTTTGTGCTTCTTCTGTTGCGATAGACACAGAAGCTTTGCAAGGGGCCAGCACTTCACCAGCTGTCCTGACACTGGCACTGCGCCTCTGCTCCTGGGGCACAACGTGAAGTCCTGGAGTTGAGGGGCTCTTGGTGTGCCCCTGCTCACTGGGCTCCTGGGGACTGAATGATTGAACCCAAGGCTCTGGGCTGAGCTCTGTTCCCAGCCCTTTTCAGAGGGCGGAGGCAGTGTCCTGTTAAATTGCTTAGGCTGGACTTGAACTTGCCATCCTCCTGCCTCAGCCTCCTGGAAGGCTGGCATTGTAGATGTGGGCCACCATGCTCATCTGGTCTCCTCAGTTTTGAAGGGACACTTCGCAGTTTCCTGTGGCCTTGGTTCTGTGCATTGCATGACTGGGGAAAAGCTGTTCTGTGGCCAAGACCTGCTCCTGCTAACCACGCAGGAGGGCCTGGTGGGCCGGGCATAGAGCCCACACCTGGCCCTCCCGGCTGTGATGCAGAGCAGGTTGGGCCAATTGCCTACTTCCAGGCTGGGCTGCCTTTGCTACCCACTCTGTGATCTTCCTGAGGCGCCCAGCTCACAGTCCATACTGTGGCACAGGGCTGGCCAGGCAGAGCCAGGTTCAAGTCCTGCTTCTGTTACCGAGGGATGGGTGCTTTTGGGCCTCAACTTTCTCATCAGTGTCCTTCCTGCATTCCCTGCAGAGGTTTGCCCAGGGTTGGGGCTCCCTAGTGTGACTCCAGGGATTGGCTAAGGGGTCTGATTCACCCCTGGGTGACTGAGGCCAGGGAGGAGGTCCCTGAGGATGCACCTACGCCTCCATTGCAGGTGGCGGAGGAGCTGCAGGCTGCCTCTTCGCATGGTGACGAGAGAGAGCTGCTGCAGTTGCTGGCCACGCCCCACCTCAGGGTAGGGACCTGCATCAGCCTTGCCACCCCCAAGGCTACCCCTTGACTCGCAGCTCCTGGGTGGGGATGCTGGAGTGCCACACTGCTGTCCCTCTAGTCCCAGACCCATAAGTCCTGCCTCCTTCCAGGCTGTGCTCATGGTGCATGACACCGTGGCTCAGAAGAACTTTGACCCCGTGCTGCCCCCGCTGCCCGACGATGTTGATGAGGACTTCGAGGAGGAGTCAGTGAAGATAGTGCGCTTGGTGAAGAACAGGGAGCCCCTGGTGTGTGGCGCCCGCCTCTCCCCTTCCAGAGAGCTGCCCTGGCCTCCTGAGGTCCCCAGGGTGGGCAGCAGGAGCTGCGCTGAGCTGCCCTGGCAGCCCATTTGTGTGCCGTGCACCTCTTTGCCCTGGGCTTTGGGTCAGACTTAGGGTGTGCCCTGGTGCTCTCTGTGCTGGCCACCACAGCTCCTTAGTGCTGTCCCCTCTGCTGTTTCCTGTGCCATGTCCCTGTTTCAGATCACTGGCAGGGCACCATTGGCACCATGTGGGTGGCAGCAGAAGGCCAGGGACACTTCATGGTCGGGGTAGGCGGGTCAAATGTCCAAGGCATGCTTTGGCAGGCGCTGGCTGGGTTGGGAGTTTCCCGTCTCCCCGTCCAGGAGTCTGGTCCTCGGAGATGTCACAGTCACTGTGCTGGCCCTAGTGGCAGTTGCTGGGTTTTCTGCCTGAGTGACTGCAAGCTGGCTCGCGGGGCCTGGCCTCCTCCCTGACCTCCCTGTTCCGTGTGTGGTTCAGGGAGCCACCATCAGGCGGGACGAGCACACAGGTGCTGTTGTGGTTGCCAGGATCATGCGTGGGGGTGCAGCTGACCGCAGTGGTGAGTGTTGTCCCTGAGGGCTCCTGGAGTCCCCATCTGCTGGCCTGCTGGGGTTCCCTTTCCCTCCTGAACCACATGCCACTTGCATGGAAAGCCGAGGGCTGGGGTTCTGGGGCCCATAGAAGTGGCATACCCTGGCTTAGCTGCCAGCCTGGGGTGTCCCCTCCCTACCCTCCAGGGCCCATCCAGCTGTTCTGCCCAGGTGGTGCAGGGCAGGGGTGGCAACTGCTGAGTTGGGGGGGGCCTGGATTTGGGGTCCCGGTTGAGAGGCATCCTAGACCAGAGCCAACCAAATGCTCACAAGCGCCTTGACGACATTGGGGTTCTGACTGGGGAGTATCCTTCTCACTGCTGGCCCAGTGCCCACTGGAGCCACAGACGGGGCAGGATGCACACAATGCTCTCAGCAGTGGATGCCGTAGTCCCAGCTCCCAGGAGGCTGAGGCAGGAGGCTCACTTGAGGCTGATTTTGAGAGTGGCTTGGGCAACACAACAAGACCCTATTTTCTTTTTTTTTTTTTTTTTTTTTTTTGGTGGAACCAGGGATTGAACTCAGATCCTTGTGCTTGCCAATGAAGCACTTATCCTACTGAGCCATCTCCCTGGCCCCAAGACCCTATCTTTAAAGAGAAAGAAGCGAACACACCCAAGGCTTTTGATGGTATCATGACTGGTGTCCTGAGGTCGTGTTGCTCAGGATGGCTGCTCTTGGAGTCAGCCCGTACCCCAGGAAGGCGAAGGGTGGAAGCCCTCTACTTTCTCTCTCTCTCTCTCTGCAGTAGTGGAGATTGAACCCAGGGCCTTCACACTGAGTGGCGTCCCGAGCACTTTTTATTTTGAGCCGAGGTCTTGCTGAGCTAATTAGGTGGGGTGCAAACTTTTGGTTCTCCTGCTTTAGTCACCTCACTGCACCCCGCTAGTGAACGACATTTTAAGGAGGCAGGAGTTGCAGAGGGCCTGCAAGATAGCTCAGCAGACCAAAGTGCCTGCCTAAGCAGTGGGATCGGAGGTTCCTTTCCTGCGCCACACGCCAAGCCAGCCCCGCCCCAGGGCGGGCCGGCTACAAAAAAAAGGATTAAAAAAAAAAGTTGCAGCAGAGGAACACAGCTTTCTACCCCCCTCTGCATCTGAAGAGCAAAGGGCCTCATCTTCGGATGAGGCCTGTCCCATGTTGAGTCTGCAGCCAGCTCCTGCGCTGACGCTGCCCTGTGTCCCCAGGCCTGGTCCACGTTGGGGATGAGCTTCGTGAGGTAAACGGTGTCGCTGTCCTGCACAAGCGGCCTGATGAGATCAGCCAGATTTTGGTCAGTGCTGCTGCCTGGGGGCTGGGGTGGGGAGTGGGCTCCCCAGGGGACTTACTGGTGCTTCAGGCCTTGCTTGCTCTCTGGGGAAGGGCTGTTGCCCCAGGGCCCCCTCCTGGTTCTCTACTTTCTGGCTACGTGGCTGGATAGAGTTTCGGACAGCTCTTTGTCACCATCATGATCACGACTGGGGAAGTCGAAAAGGAGAGGTTTCTCTGAGGGCAGGGCTGTGTGAGCAGCCCACATCTGGGGAGGGCCGGGTCCTGCCCATCTGGGGAGTGAGCCCAGGGGTGCCATAGGCCCTCAGCCTGGTGCAGGTCCTGCGGTTGAGATCATGAGCTGGGCGTGTGTAGGGAGGGCACCAACTCTGACACCAGAGGGGCTTTGGCCCCTGGGGCCCCAGGGTGACAGGCCCTCCTTCCTATCACCAGGCCCAGTCTCAGGGCTCCATCACCCTCAAGATCATCCCAGCAACCCAGGAGGGGGACCGCTTCAAGGAGAGCAAGGTAGGGCCTGGGCTGGGTGGGTGCGGCCCGCGTCCTCAGACCTCTGAGCAGGGTCTGGTCAGAGGTGCCTGCTCACAAGGACAGGGCGGGAGGCAGAGGAGAGAGTCCGGAGCAGACCCTGGCCGAGCCTCCCCTGTTGGCTGCTGTGCCTGGGTGACAGGGACACTGGAGCCGCGCACTCAGCAGCCACCTGTGCGGAGCAGGCAGGGGCAGTTGCAGCAGCTGGAAGAGTGCAGCTGGGGCTCCCTGGAGACATCCCCTCTCAGAGGCTGGGGCTGATGAGTGGGAGGCTGTGGGGAGCAGGGCGAGCTCGAGAGGTGGCCCTGCGCAGGGCTCTGGCGGGGTGCTGGTGTGGGGCTGGGGTCCTCCGAGTGATGGCCCAAGTGCTTCATGAAGGTTGGGCAGCCTGCTTGGGGTCTTGGGGTCTCTCAGTCAGTGTACGTGGGGCCCAAGTCACCAGCAGGCACCTGGGTTCGCCTCTGGGTCCCCCTCTGTCACTGTCGGCACGGTAACCCTCAGAGGTCCTCATTGGGCTGGAGGTTTCCATCTTTCAGACACCCCCGGCCTGCTCCAGCTGGCCTGTTTGCTGGATTTTGGGCACTGGGGATGGAGCCAGGGCCCAGGCCTGTGGCTGGGCTGCCTTCTTCCCATGTTGGTGCGGAACCTTCCTGGGCAGGTGCAGAGGCAGAAGGGTGCTGATCAGGGCCACTGGGTGTGTGTTGCGGGGAGCAGCCGTGGGGATGGCACCCGACACAGAGCAGAAGGTGACGGGCTCTGATGCGCAAGGCAGGGACGTGCGTGGCCCGACCGCATCACAGCAAGGGAAGAACGCTCTTTTTGTGTTACTAGGGATTGAAGCCAGTGCCTTGGACACGTGGGGCAAGTCATCTCCCAGAGCCGCTCTCCTAGCCCTGTTTATTTCTATTTACTTTTGGGATGGAAGTTTCCTGAATTGCCTAGGTTGGGGTTGAAGCCTCCTCCTTTGGCCTCCTGCACAGCTGGGAGGATGTGTGTGTGTGTGTGTGTGTGTGTGTGTGTGTGTGTGGTCCTGGGAATCGAGCCAGGGCCGCCCTACCACTGAGCTACACCACCCCTTGCTCGGGTGTCCAGGCTGGCCTGAGACTCGCCATCCTCCTGCCTCAGCCTCCTGTGCGCCCTACTCACTCTGACTGCTGCTTTGTGCGAGGCAGGTTCTTGCTGGATGGAGAGTCCTGCAGCAAGTAGCTGTGCACCCCCTGCATGGCTTCCAGGGCTCTGGCATGGTCGGGGGTCCTGGTGCTCCAGAGGACGCGCAGGCACTGTCCCCAGGACCTCTGCTCGTTGACCCTTCCTGAGTCAGCTGCTGGGGTCAGAGTCCCTGGTCCCCAGGGTGCTACAGCTGTGGCTGGCGAGGGCTTCTGCCCACAGTGCTCAAGTCAGGACGAGCTTCCCTCCTGTGCTGGTGTGCAGAGGAGGGGCAGGCCCCGGCTTGGGAAGGCGCTGAGCCCAGGGTCTGCCCATGGAGGGGAGGCAGCAGGCACCTAGCACGAAGTGTCCACGTCAGGGAGAAGGGCAGTGACAGTGGCCATCTGTTAAGGCTCTGATTGTTGGGGGATTTCCAGGCTGGGGCATCCAACATAAGTGAGGAAGTGTAAGCAGAGCTGGGTGTGCCGGCACACACCTGCTCCTAGCAGTCGGGAGGCTGAGGCAGGAGGCGCTCAGTTGGAGCCCAACCTGAAAACTTAGTGCCGTGGAGACCCTGTCCCAGAATAAAGGGCTGGGATGGAGCTCATTGTGGAAGCCCTAGGCTCAGCCCCAGCACCACAGGAAGGAAGTAGAGCAGCAGAGACTGAAGGAAAGAATCACCAACAAGGGAACGCTCCAGATGTGCTGTGGGTCGGCCTCTCTTCCCCGAAGCCCCAGCCTCTGCATGGCTGTCCCCTGCGGCCACTCATGGAGCCCTCCCCGCAGGTGTTCATGCGGGCCCTGTTCCACTACGACCCCCTCGAGGACCGCGCCATCCCCTGCCAGGAGGCGGGGCTGCCGTTCCAACGCCGGCAGGTGCTGGAGGTGGTGAGCCAGGACGACCCCACCTGGTGGCAGGCCAAGCGCGTAGGCGACGCCAACCTCCGAGCTGGCCTCATCCCCTCCAAGCAGTTCCAGGAGAGGTGGGTGGGGGCAGAGGCAGGCGGGCAGACGGGGTGGGGCCGACTGAGTGCTCCCCGGCTCACTCTGTGCTGTTTATCTCCCGCCTTTCTACTCCAATGCTGCTTGCAGAGATGGGGGCCTTGTTTTTCTTATTTCTCTTTTTAAATTTTGCTATACTGGGATTGAAGCTAGCCTCTTATATTTCGAGACAAAATCTCACTAAATCACTACATTGCCTAGGCTGGACTCAAACTTGGGATCTTCTTGCCTCAGCCTCCTTGAGTGCTGGGGATGACAGGCGCACCCCACCACATCCAGTGTTTTGTTTTTTACTTTTTTTTTTTTTGCGGAACGAGAGATTGAACTCAGGCCCTTGCACTTGCCAGGGAAGCGCTTATTCTACTGAGCCATCTCTCCAGCCCCCTTGTTTTTTACTTTTTAAGAGTGATGTTTTGACCCTGGCTGCTCCCGTAGGAACACACGCCCTCTGGGGTGTGCTTTGCCTGCTCACTGGGCACTTCCCCCTCCATCAAGAAGGTGGGCTCATCACAGACCAGGCTGGCCTTGCGCTGGGCATCTTGTGCTGCCGGGTGGTGCTGGAGTAAGCTGTCCTTGAACACACCCAGGTGTAGGACAAGGGAGCAGGGTCCCTGGGGGTCAGGAGGTGTCCAGCAAGGGTCCTGGCAGAGGGCGTCCCAGTGCCTGTCCCTGTGTGAGGGGCCGCAGTCACTGTGCGAGTGGAGACTGCTCAGTCCCAGGCCATTCACTCTGTCCAGGCCCTGGCCGCACATCCCTGGTGCCCCATGTGGGGCATGGCAATAACTGTGGTGGCTTCCTGGCAGAGCCCCCCGACTCCAGAGCTCTGCAGCACCTGAGGCTTTGTGGGAAGTCCTCGGGGCTCCCCAGACCTGCAGCACCCTGAGATCTGTGTACCCTGTGCCAAAATGAGTGGGCT